CCCACCGCTGCCCTTTCCTTTTCTCCCCTCCCAGGTGCTCTCGAGCCGGGGCGAGGGGATGAGGTGCCCCCGTGCCGCGTGGTGTCCCGAAGCGGCTCTTTAGATCCTCCCCGGCCCGAGCCTCCCCTGCCATGGATGCCTCGGGGGCTCTTGCTTCGGCTCCCCCCCCCCCGGGCTCCCCTAGCCCCATGTTCCCCCCAGGAGCCGACAGAGAGGAGTGGGGACCGAGGTTCAATTGTGCCCCTTCCACCTCTGCCGCAGCCTCGCAGGCGATGCCAGCGTCTGGCCGGAAGAGGAAGGCCAACTTCTCCAATGACGAGACGGAGACGCTGGTCTGGAATGTGGTGCGGCATTTCAGCGCCCTGTACGGGTCCGAAGCCCTGCGGGCTCACCCCGTGCGGCGGAAGCAGCTCTGGACCCAAATCCAAAGCCGCGTCAACTTCCTGGGCTACACCGAACGCTCCATCGACGACCTCAAGCACAAGTGGCGCGACCTACGGCTGGACGTCAAGAAGAAGATCACCTCCAAAAAGCACCTCCCCATGAACCGCGCCGGAGGGCCCCTCCACAAGCCGCGCCTCACGCCCCTGGAGAAGATGGTGGCGTCCACCTTCCTGCAGGCCAGCCACGACTCGGAGCCCGAAATCATCCTGGACCCAGGTCAGTTCGATGGGGAGATGGCCTGGTTTGAATTGGAGCGGGACGGCCCCGTCCTGCGTCCCCTCCGGTGTCCCCCGAGCTCTGGGCTTTGCCCTTTGCGTCCCGTGTGAGCCGCTAAAATTTGCCCTCGTACGCGTTTCGATGGCGTCCGACTCTTGTCAAACCACCAGGGCTTAAATCGGGGTTACAAACCCACGGTAGCATCAACAGAACGACCTCAAACTTCGTGCGGGCCCATCTTTTTCCTCATTTTTTTAACTTATTTCAGTAATAAATTCAGCCTTGCTGCTCACGGGCGTTAAAAGCTGGGCATGGGACTTGATTTCCCACGCTCAGGCGGGAAGATGCAGACCCAAAATCGTCGCTTTTCGCCGTGGGGCTGGGCCCATGGGTGCACCCACCCCCTTTTTGTTACCACCCGGGATGCAAACACCCCCCTGGCCCCCTTCATTTACCCCAAGGGGGACGTGTGCTGCGTCCCCAGAGGACACCGGCGCTGCTCGCTCCCGCTCCTCTTTGCTTTCAGCTCAACCCCTCGGGTTTCGCTGTGGACGTGCGGGCGCGTTCGGTCTCATTTTGCCCTCCAAACCCAACGCCCGCTTTGCCACAGCCTCCCTGCGCTCAAGGGATGAATTTTAGGTCCCTGGAGGGGTCCTGATAGGGGCGAGGGTTGGGTCTTTCCGTGGCGTGGCAGCGGCTGAGGCCGTTTCCTCACCTCCTTGCAGACCTGTTCTTCCCCGGCGCCGCCAAGCAGCCCTTCATGCACCTGCAGCCCGGCGCCAGCCACCCCAGCATCACACCCCAGCATCTACATCGACACCAACGGGCAGCCCTCGGCCCTGCCCGACCTGGAGGGCTCGGCCGTGCCCCGCCTGGCGCTGCAGAGCCCCGACCCCTCCGTCATCTGCGAGTACAGCCGGGGCGAAGGACAGAGCAGCTCGGGTAAGGACGGGGGCGTGGAGGTGGCACCGGTGCGGTGTCCTGGGACTGGTGTGGCCGGGTGACAAGTGGTGTTCCCCTGGGCTCGGTTTTTGGGGCCAGTCCTGTTGAACATCTTTA